TAGGTGCCTCACTGCCTTCATAAATCTAGTGCTTAATGATTTAACATTGTTCAAGTGCTTGTTGCGCTTGCTTAAAAAGAGATGAGGAAGACAAATTTAGACACAATGGATTCCAACACAATTGATGACATACTTATAGCTGGCATAAAGCTGAAGCTATTGGGACTTGACATGTTGCTGCTGTTAGAGGCAAAGCAAGTTTTATTAACTTTGCATTAAGTGAGTTTAGAAAGAGCTCAAAAAAGCCCTCTTCAAACTCTGAAATACTAAGGGTTTTAGATTTTATTACACATGTTGGATGATTTTGCAGTTACTGGTGAATATATAGCACTTCTAAAAGGGTGGTTTGATTAGAAGATCAGAAACAGTAGAGACTGAGGAAGCAAATAAGGGGTGAAGATTTTGTTTGGCAAGTCAGAACTGATAGTTTTCTCTGGCTTTAGCAGCACTAGAAAACTTTCTCCTGAATAAACCAAAAAGAATTTGAAGACAAAGGGATATTTCCAAAATATCAAGCCTCCATATCTCCCACATCAGCTCCTGCTCATCTTACATTTGTTTCATCTGTTCCGTACATTCAGTACAGCACGTGCATTTACTTAGTGGGGGAAGGAGGGACAAGAAGCCCAGCTGTATTAAACTTTGCTGTCTGTGATGTGAGAAATTTGGCAGGCTTGACAATGTTGACTTAATACCCTGATTGTCCTCAGCAGCAGAAGCCCCAGAGAGTGCTCATGTCCTGCTTTGGCTTGACTGTGAGACATTGTGTGGAGTTCAGCCAAAGAGCAGTTTTGCACTGCAGGTGATTGCACTTCTCCAGTCTGTGGACTACTGATAGGAGTGGGGAGAAAAGGGGTGAGGGTAAAGGTTACTGTCAGGTGAAGAATCAACAGACTTTGGTGTATCTATATTTCTGCAGAAGAGGGTGAAATAATTAGCACTGGTGGACCAATACTGCTCCCCTATGGAGGCAGAAAGATTTCAGCTTTACCGTGGCTCTGTTTCCTCATGGGAGAGGTAAAGGCAAATAAGGAATAATGGAACATTTCTTTAAATCAAACCATTCAGTTTACATAGTAATCATGATTCTCGCTTACTTGTGTTATTATTGCATACAAACAACACTGTATTAAGTTTTCCATTTTGAAGGATTTTTTTAAAAGTAAACGTTATACTTTGAAATATTACTGATCATTTTACACTGAAATGCCTGTTTTCTTTTTCCCTGTAGTATTCACTTTTTCAAATCATCAGCTTAAATTCTGTGGAAAAAAGTTTCCCTCATCTCATTTGGTTAGAACAGCTTTTCATAGTTTCATAGTTCCCAGGGTCGGAAGGGACCTGAGCAGATCATCTAGTCCGACCCCCTGCCATGGCAGGAAGAGCACTGGGGTCAAACGACCCCAGTAAGGTGGTCATCCAACCTCCTCTTAAAAACCCCCAGGGTGGGAGCCTGCACCACCTCACTTG